ATAGAGTCATGAGGCAAGTGACATACCATTCGCAAGAGCTCTTCATGTTCTTTCGAATGAGTTAAAAATTTACGGATTCCCTCTTACTTCCAGATAAATAAGAAGACTGTATTTTGCAATTTTTTGGCGCAAGAAAAAAACCAGAACATTATGTTTCAACCCATATTTTCCGAAGAAGGAAGAAATCTGTTTTAAACTGCATATGGATGGATAGAGCATTGATGGCCCTATTGGGTATCTGTCAGAAAGCGTGCGCTCACTTGCATGGTCAATACGTACTATATTTGTTCTCGGAACTGCTCATGACATATCTTCTGAATTTAAGCGTTGAGGTTAGCAAGCAATCGTAAATTTGGTGAATGTCCCATCACTCATGGCGACAGTGGTACTCAGGCTGGGCTGACATATTTTACTGCATAAGTACTGCTCGAAGTCCATAATTTGGTGGTTAACTTTGCGCTCCAGCAAGTATAAAAAACATTAATCATGTAAAATGACCTTATGTAGTGTATCCTGAAAGAGAATAATATGTTCTAACTTTGACCAAAATTAGAGAGTTCAACCATACTTTTTCTTGAGAAATCTCTTCAAGTGTCCCATTTTTTTACCGATTACCCTAATAATAGCCATAGTTATCTACTCCTCAGCTCTAAAGAATTTATTACGTTCTCCAGATATAGGCAAAATGATCACTTGTAGCCAGATTTACGATAAACAGTCCATATGTGGCATTTTTATACGCAAATAATATATTTGGAGAAATGCAAAATTGTTCAGCGACAACATTGATAGAACCTTGTCACTCAGCTGTAAAACGCAGCCACTCACCACTACACCAGTCCCACAGCGAAAGTGCTTTGCCGCGCCTTGATAAAAGGTAGGCCGCTTTTAGAAAAAACAAAGCTCAGTCATTTTTTTTTTACAAAATTGCTCCGCAGATAATGAAAGCAGAAATGAGATCAGTGTTCGAAGACTGCCTACCCATATGCAACACTTCCCATATGTTCACTTCGACCAAGGATCCTTACCTGGTAAGACGCGTGAGGTATGCTCAGCGCCTCAGGTCTACTGCAAATTGATCTGCAGATAAAGCGTTTCAACTCCAAAGTTGCAAAATCTTCTCGATGTAGCGATTTGACGGAATCGCGGGAAAACTGCCAAGACTTAGAGCTTTCGAATGCATACAAACATCTGTTGTGAAAAAACCAAAACGAAAAATGCGAATGAACTTATTATCCAACCTAAACTAAGCTAAAGTAATTGATGTAACGTTGGTGTACATGGTGTGCTATACTATATTAGAAACGATCCTTTTACATATAAGAAGTTTGCGTACTGCGCTTATTGACCTTCCAATTAATCACACGTATGAAATATGGAGTTGTACTCAATGCATACATATTAACAAACTACGAAATTTCATGACCCAGTCATTCCAAAAATGCTATGCTTGAAGGAAGCAATCACGGCTGGCATACCACTACTAGTTATACCGTTATTTGGAGATCAGCCAAAGAATGCAAAATTAGCTGAAAAGCATGGAATTGCGGTTATCCTACAGAAGAGCAATCTCAATGCGGATACGATGGCAGTTGCCATACATGAAATTCTTACGGATCAAAGGTAATTCGACCTTTTGCAGTTTTATCAGCTTGTTTATTATTTTTTAGCTATTCTCTCAAAGTCAAGCGATTATCGCAAATGCTGAAGAAGAAGCCAGTAAGTGTCTCTAAGCTGTTGGTGCGTTGGACTGAGTTTGTAGCAGAATTTAAAACGCTAGAAAATTTCATTCCGGTAGGTAACAAACTAAATTTTGTACAGTATTATTCTCTCGATGTCATTACGTTTTTATCACTACTCTTATCATTAACAGCATTGCTCATTTGGAAACTACTGAGGTTCGCTATAAGAAAAACGATTGATATTATGTTTGCTTTGTCGACGATTGTAGCACACAGATCTCAACAAACAAAAGTCAAAAATGAATAGGTCGTTTTGTTAACACTAATCATAGCGTAACGCAAGGGCTCATATACTGCTTTCACGTTTGTTAAGTGTTTTCTCATTCTCGCTGAATAAACGGCTTTTCATGGATTGGCAGATAATTTTTATCCATAACTTATATATAAATGGTTTTTGCATCTTACAAGGGGAGGATACTTGGTCGAAGTGGCGTTTCC